AGAGCAAACAATCTTCCAGCCATGCTGACGACCTACGGGAAATCTTCGCCATCATGCAAAAATTCAACATTCGGCTAAACCCGAAGAAGTGCACCTTCGGCGTCCAAGGGGGCAAGTTCTTGGGCTACATGGTGAGCCGAAGGGGTATTGAGGCCAATCCCGAGAAAATCCAGACCATCATCAACATGGAGCCCCCACGCAATGTGAAGGAAGTTCAACGGTTGACGGGCCGCCTGGCAGCCCTCAACCGCTTTCTATCTAAATCAGCGGAGAAGTCTCTACCCTTCTTCCAGATCATGAGGAAGACGGCTGGCTTTCTATGGACTCCGGAATGCCAGGGGGCTTTCGACGAACTCAAGCGGTATCTATCTTCACCCCCCGTGCTCTCAAAACCAAAGGTAGGGGAAACCCTCTATCTCTACCTCGGGGTCAGCCCGGCGGCCATCAGCTCTGTGCTCATCCGGGAGGAAGACGGCATCCAACATGCCATCTTCTACGTCAGCAAGACCCTAAGGGAAGCCGAGCTCAGGTACTCCCCTGTGGAAAAAACGGTGTTGGCCATCGTTTGGACTGTCAAGAAGTTGGGCCACTACTTTCAGGCTCACCCGGTTCAGGTCCTCACTCATCAACCCCTCGGCGCCCTCATGAGGAGCCCCACCAGCTCCCCCCGCATGGTGAAATGGGCTATCTTCTTGAGCCAGTACAACATTGACATCCGTCCGAGGCCTGCCATCAAGGGCCAAGCCCTGACGGACTTTGTGACGGAATGTACCGCAAGGGCAGCCACGGACGGGGAGCCCTCGGCTACCTCGGACGACTGGTGGACCCTCTACACTGACGGCTCCTCCGCGACCAGAGCATGCGGAGGAGGGGTAGTCCTCATTACTCCCCGAGGGCTTCAGGGCCTACTATGCAATCCGCTTCTCCTTCAAGGTCTCCAACAATGAGGCCGAATATGAGGCCCTCCTATGTGGCCTTCGGCTGGCTGCCAACATGAGGGCTCGGCAGATCCACATCAAATGCGACTCCAAGTTGGTCGTTGGCCAAATCTCCGAAGAATATGAGGCCAAGGAGGGGAGAATGAAACAGTACAAGGAAGCGGCCAAGGAGTTGCTTAAGGTATTTGAGGCACACTCTCTCACTCAAATACCAAGGGCTCAGAACTCCGAGGCCGACATATTATCTAAGCTCTCGGCCGACTCCCCCGAGCACATCTCCAAAATTGCCAAAATCGAAGAACTCAGCCTCTCAAGCATCCATGCAAGCCCCGTTATGAACATACAACAACGTCAGGAGGATTGGATCTCAGATATCACCGCCTTCATCTCCACAGGGCAGCTACCCGAAAATGAGGCCCGCGCTAAACTAGCAAAGCTGAGGGCTCCCAGCTACACCATCGAAGATGGAAGGCTCTACAAACGATCTTACAATGGCACGCTACTTCGGTGCCTTCATCCAGATGAAGCCGAGGTCGCAATGGAGGAAGTGCACAGTGGCACTTGCTCAGCTCACCAGGGACCCTTCTCCATGTCCCGAAGGCTCATTCTCCAGGGCTACTTCTGGCCAACCATGGCCAGGGATTGTGCTGACCTTGCCCGGAGGTGCACCGCATGTCAACATTTCCAGAAAACTCCTGGCAGGCCAGCGGTCAACTATGTCCCCATCAGCACCTCTGTCCCCTTTTCTCGATGGGGGATAGACCTTGTGGGCCCTCTGCCGAGGGGTACCTCCAACAACAGATACATCATCGTGGCCGTCGACTACTTTACCAAGTGGGTGGAGGCTGAACCCCTCGCCAGCATCACAGAGGCGAAGTGCCGTCACTTCGTCCTCAAGAACATCCTCACAAGGTTTGGCGTCCCCCAGCAGATCATCTCCGACAATGGGACACAATTTGAGGCAGCCCCCTTCTGTGCCCTTCTGGAGGCATGGGGCATCAAACACACCTTCTCCTCCATTGCCTACCCTCAAGGCAACGGGCAAGTAGAGAACGCCAACCGGACCTTGCTCGAGAGCCTCAAAAAGAAGCTAGAGACCGAGGGCGGTGGCTGGGTGGAAGAACTCCACAACATCATTTGGGCCCATCGCACCACCCCTCGGCGAGCAACAGGTGAAACACCCTTCTCCCTCTGCTACGGTTTTGAAGCCAAAGCTCCTACGGAAGTCACCCTTCCCACCCGAAGGGTGATCCAATATGACCCCGAGGTCAACGACAGCAACATGGCCCTCGACCTCCACCTCATTTCAGAACGTCGGGAGCAGGCCTTCATCCGGGCAGAAAACTACCGAAGGCAAGTTAAAAGCTACATCGACGCCAAAGTTCGCACCCGAGAATTTCAAGTGGGGGACTATGTCCTCCGGAGGAGGGAAGCCAGCCAACCAACCGAGGGAGGAAAAATGGCACCAAAATTCGAAGGCCCCTACATCATAGCAGCCATCATCAAACATGGGACCTACAAGCTCAAACGCCCCAACGGGAAAGAAGTCCCTAGGCATTGGAATGTACACCATTTAGTTAAGTTTTATCAATAATGTAAGAGCGGCCAAGCCCTCATAACTAGTGAATGTACTATCCTATGGCCCAAGGCCTCCATTTCGAAGAATGAAGATACATTCAAGACATCAAGCCCTCATACTGACTACAGGCCCCAGGCCTCACCACGAGAAGAACCCCCTCCGGCACCAAGTGCCGAGGGCGGACACCATCAACACCTACAACAAACAGTGAAAACACCACGTGTTTTCAGTCAAGACCCCTCGGTACCAAGTACCGAGGGAGGGAACTCCTATCACCAACAATAAGGAACGCCATGTGTTTCATTTCCCTTCGGCACCCAGTGCCGAGGGTACATTCCCACCTTCAACATCAAAAAAGAAAAGACGAGAACACCAAGTGTTCCTACAGAAGACCCTTCGGCACCCAGTGCTGAGGGTACACCTCCATCATCAAACATCGAAACGAAGAAAAAACACCAAATGTTTCAAAGAAGACCCCTCGGCACCCAGTGCCAGGGATATGCTCTCCTATCAACTTCCAAACATCTGTTGGGAAACACCAAGTGTTTCGTTTGAAGACCCTTCGGTACCAAGTACCGAGGGTAGACGCCTACATCAACTACAACAAAAGAGAACACCAAGTGTTCATACAGAAGACCCCTCGGTACCAAGTACCGGGGGCTACACATCGAAACTAACACCAAGTGTTGTTTCTAAAAGCCGTACCCCACGAGGATGCATATACCGAAGGCGCCACCATCGGTGCCGGCGGCACGTAGTGCCCCCGGCCATTTGCAACTAGTGTGCAAATGAAAACCCTTCCTTGAAACGCTTTCCGCGTCACTACCCCCAGGGTATGACAGGCATGAGAAATGCCCAGGATTCGACTTTCAAAAACGGAACGCTATCCGCGTCACTACCCCCAGGGTATGACAGGCATGAGAAATGCCCAGGATTCGACTTCCAAACCGAAACGCTCCCCGCGCCACCACCCCAAGGGTGTGGCAGGCCACGGACTATGTCTAGCGCCGAGGGGACGACTTTCAAAAATGAGGCGCTTTCCGCGCCATCCCCCAAGGGGAGGCAGGTTACGGACCACCATATCTTGTGCCCAGGAAACGTCCATCGATCCCCTCGGAACTCGGAAGGTTAACCCGAGGGAGGAGAGCCATTGGTGTATTCTGATGGTCTCCTAATAGGCCCAGCCTTACCAAGAAACCAAGTTTCTTGATGCCTTCCCTTCACCACCAACCAAAAAAGGGGGGGGGGGGGTGAAGGGGAGTAGACTCAGCGAGAAATCAAAGAGTACACTCCAACAAGATCACAACATGTCGAGGGCTCCCCACGGGAACACCTCCGGTAACTGAAGGCTCCTATTTCCCGAAGGATACTACTCGAACAAATAACAGCAAGGAACGGCAAAGTCCACTGCCTGGCCACCTCCGGTCACACAAACACCGAAGGCTTCAACAATACAGAGGGACTGGACTATCCAAAGTACACTAAGACGGTACCTTCAAATATGTACCGAAGGCAGCTGTTATACATTATTACCGAGGGCCCCTACCCCATTACAAGGGACACAACTGGTTGAGTCAAACTCTACAACTCTTCAGAGTGTATGCCGAGGGCACACACTCCTCATTGGCTTTCTTCACAACAACAGGATTCAACATCAATTTACGCAAAGTAATGTAGAGTCAGAGGGCACCTATCACCCGAAGGCTACGCAAGGAAGCAGCACTTGAAAAAATTATAAGTCCTAAAAGATTGGGCCCCCGGCCCAATCAATATTACTGCCAAGGGAATATGGTAGCTGGAGGTCATGCAATACAACAACACTTGAAAAAATATATTATGTCCTAAATGAGCAGCCCCCGGGCATCTGGCAAAATAATGTGGAGTCAAGAAGGGATGCCATCTCCCGAAGGCTCCCAAGGGAAAATCTACACTTAGAATATTTTCTAAGACCTACATATTTTCCCCCCCGGTCAACTGCTCATACATCATGGGGGTGCCATCTCCCGAAGGCTCCCAAGAGAAACTGCACTTAGAAATCTTTCTAAGTCCTACATATTTCACCTTCAACTTATAAAGGGACCCAACAGCCGAAGGCTACCTATCAATCGAGGGCTACAATACACAAGGAATCAACACTGAAGAGAATTTTCTAAGTCCTAGAGAATTGGCCCCCGGCCTAATCAATATTTCAGTTGGGGCTCCACAGTAGCCGAAGGCTACATGACATGCTACACTTGCAAAGATTTTCTAAGTCCTGGACATTGGGCCCTCGGTCCAATATTCACACATCAGAGGGTGCCCAACTACCGAAGGCTTCCAAGGGCAAGCTACAATCAGAAAATACTCTAAGTCCTAAAACATACAGTCAAAGGAGCGAAGGAATACATTCAAAAATACCGAAGGCATACACTCAAGGAAAACGGAGGCATACATTCAAGAAGAAAGGAATTGGAGAAAACAAGTCATATAAACACAGCCCGAAGGCAATCATTCAATCATCAACAAACAGAGGGCGAATGTGATTACGAATAAATGTTACAAGCAGGCCGAAGCCGAAGGATGAATAATGTCACCATTACAAATACATGTTTACATAATAAAAAATGCATATCAAATAATGTCATTCCCGGGGGCCGCCTCCCCCGATGGCTTCGAGGTGACTTCTGCGTCGGCCTCAGGTTCGTCGCCCTCGGCTTCCTTCATGAGCTCAGAGTCCTCCAGGTCTGGCCTCTCAACATCGGGGGGAAGAGGAACGTGGATGTCTGGCTGCAAGGGGGGGAGCCCGTATGCTGCCGGGTCAAAGTCCTTTGGCTCGATCTTCAAGTGGCGAGCCATCCTCCGGTAGATGAGGGCTTGAGTGAAAAACTCGCCCCCATCATAGTATTGTTTACCCTTTCGGGAAACCCACTCCACGCCAGGCCCATCACACCACTCGTCGACCGAGGACTCGACGACCGAGGACAACCATTGCTTGTGCTCCTCGGACCGCCACCCCCCTGCCAAGAACCCCGAGATTGCGTCCCCTCGGGCTCTCTCGACGGCTTCCACCTTCGCGGCCTCGGCTTCCTTGACAGCTCTCTCCAAGGCCTCAGCTGCGGACCTCTCGGCTTCTGCCCTGCCCCGATCTGCGGCCTCCGCCCGCAGGGTCATCTGCCGAAGGCTCTCCTCCAGCATAGCCATCTGCCGAACAGCGTCTGCATTCTGGCGGATGAGCTCCCGCATCTTGGCCTCCTGCTCGGCCTTGCGAAGGCGCCACTCCTCTAGCCGCCGGGCTTGCTCCCCGAGGGCAATGCAGGTCTACAGAAACAAAGGGGTTAGCGAGGCCAAACATGGTTTCTTAGCTCGAAGTAAAAAAGAAAGAAATAAACATAAAAGACTTACTGTGAGGGAAGACCGGAGGATCCTGTCCTCGAGGGCTTCGTCTTCATCAGCCCCGAGGGCTACTCTGTCAATCTCGAGGGTGATGCCTCTCAGAAGCGCCCTCGGGTCGGCCGTACCGTTCATCACGGCCGTACCAGCCGGGAGGGAAACCATGAGGACCTCGGAAGATGGCCCCTGAACTCCCGACGGCACTTTCGCCACCTGCATGTCCTCATTCGCCCCGGAGGCAGGGCCTTCATCAACAATGATCACCGGGGGGACTTTCTTCCCGGCATCCCCGGTCTTGGGCTTCTTGCCCTCGGGATCTCTGCCCGAGCACTTCCTTTTGGCGGCAGCGGCAGCATCAGCACTTGGGCCCACCGACGGCCCCTCCGGTTTTTTGAAGAAGTCACCGGCGGGTTTTGGGACACCGGCGTCCGTCCCCCTCGGGCCCTTGGAGGGTTTTTTCTTCTTCAGATCTGCAAGGCCTCTGACGTTCATCATTTTCACTGGGACACCTGCAAAAAAAAAGGTATGGGGTTAAAATCGAGGGGTTACTGACCGAAGGCACAAAGAATAAAAAGAAAAAAAACACGAACAAGGTAAGCTATGTGCTAAGATATGAAAACCGAGGGACCTCGTAGACTACCTCCTGTTCCCTCGAAGGCCTCAGCAAAAATGGGGTACTTCTCGTCCGCTTCCCCGATAAATCGGTATCTCCGGAAGCCGAGGGCGTAGAATCCCTTGTCGGCAGTATAGTCTTTGATGGAGACCTGCTTTGTGCGACCCTCCGGGATTTTGGCTATCACCAGGCCATCTTTTTCGAGGGCGGCGCTTCCAACCTTCGGATGCCGACGGAAGCGATCCCGAAGTTCCGCCGGAAATGGGTTCTCAGCAACCCTGACATAGCACCAGCGCTCCTTCCAGCCCTTATTGGACGAAGGCGCCTCCGTAAACAGCTTCCACCTGGCCACCTGCTGCAGGTTGGCGAAGCCCTCGGCATTCGCGTGACCCCCTCGACAGAGGTTGAAGCTCTGGAAGAACAAGTCCAGGCTGGGGGTCACCCCTCGGTCCCTACAAAGGTTTAAAAAACCCGCCACGTAGGAGTGGCTATTAGGTGTCAGCTGGCAGGGTACCAAGCCAACAAACCTCAGGTACTCCCGGAGGAAGGGGTGCAGAGGGAACCGAAGGCCCATGGAGACCGACAGTACGTGTACTGCAATGCACCCCTCAGGTGCCCGAGAGAGCACGTCGTCAACTCCCGGCTCGACCACCACGGCCGAGGGCCCTACATGTAGCTGCGTCACGTAGAGGTCCGCCCTGTCCGCCTTCGACTTTATCTCCAAGGCAGCCGTGTTGAGCCAGGAATACCCCTCCGGCATATCTACGGGTTTCCCCTGATCAGCAGTAATAACCTTCTTCTTGGGGGCAGCTGCCTTGGCCTTCTTCTTCCCGGGGGCCACCCGGATGGGAACTGCATTCAGCGGCTGGGAAGTACTGGCCTCACCAGCACCCCGAGGGGGAAGGACGGCCACAGTGACCTTCGCCCTCTCCTTTTCCTCCTCCTCTTCAGCAACTTGGACGGCGAGGGCCAACTCTTCATCCTCGGCAGTTCGCTCGAATTCCTCCGCCTCGGCCTCGGCCATCAGATCCTTCTGCACCTCAGTGGCGAGGGCTGCGTCACCACCATCCGAGGGCTGACCGCTACTGGACTCCAGGTCGGAGATGCCTTCGTCCTCCATCGAGGGCGTCCTCGAGATGTCCTGAGAGTCACTCTGGGACGACATTCTAACTCTAGCTCGAGGGTTCGGGGGAACTAAGGTTTCTAATGAATTCTATCTCCTAACCCGAGGGCACAGTGTACAGCTATACTAGAAGGAGAAAGGCAGGGAGCACTGACCTCGAAAGCTGAGTTAGGACCGAAGGCTTGAGTTTCTCTCACTAGATTTTTTGGCAGAGCTTCGCTAAGACAACTGAGTTTGCACAGCGGGGAATGGCCCTGGCCTTGGGGTATTTATAGGCGATGGAATCCGGGTTTGGGCCTGGATTCCGGGCCTCCGGATGGACCACCATCATTACACACCGCGTCCTCACCCAACCAGTGATGCCGCCCACGGACAGCCAGCCATCACGCGCCACGTGTTCCCCCCCAACGGCTATATCCTGACGTTACGTATTCCAACGGCTATATTTCCAACGGCTATATTCTGGAAGCCCCGGGTTTTCTACCCCACTCCACTTCATCAAGGATAGCCTCCGGGTGCACTCACTCAGAAGTGCCCCCGGGGTGTGCCCCACACAACACATAACAGACGCCTTCGGGATCACTCCTTCAGGAACCCAAGGCTTCATATCAGGGCACCCCTCGGGAATTCCCCCTCAGCACTGCAAAACCGGGTAGCCCCCGGGGAGTTGCCTTCATTGACGGATAACCCGTCGCACACAGGTAATGGGAGCCCTCGGGTATCTTCATCACCAACTAATCAACAAACAGTGGACCCCCCGATAACAACTCCGTTGCCGCCCTCATCCAGCAGGCCCTCGATCCCCGGATTGAGGGGCTCCCCTTCGGCATCCCCAGGATATCAACGGCAAGCCTTCGGCTGATCAATACATGAGCCCTCAGAAAAAGAAGAGCCTTCGGCATTACCGTTATTCTCCATTTTTGACCAAGGTTTGACATTTTCGATTCATCATTGGGGGAATTCGGTGCACTCTTTTTCCCTCATTAGGATTTTTTCCCCCAGGGTTTTTCCTAATGAGGTTTTTAACGAGGCATCCCCCCAAAATGAAACGAAAAACGTCAGCCTTCGGCCCACAACAGCAACACAACTACTCTACTCCTTTTCACCACTTTACAAGTGCCTCAAGGAGTGGGGGACTGGAGGAGCCCCTCGGGAAAATCATTAAATTACAAAAGATGTAGAAATTCCAACAAACAACAAAGCAAGCCCTCAAGTCCCGACATGTGGGTAATTGAGGGACTGCCCTCGGCAGGGACATAAAAGCAACAACTCCTCACTAACATCAGAGATCACGACGGGACAACATCAAAGGGCAAGCACAAATTACTCCTTTTCCCTCAAGTACCTTTCGGCAAAAGGAGTGAGGGACTCCTGATGGAGTATATGGTCGGGAACCCCCGGCCCACAGACTCCTACTACTCCGGCGAAGGCCCAACAGGCCCAAAAGGCCCAACAGGCCCAAATCACAGCACCCAGAGTACCAAGCAGCCCGCACTACGCGCCAGGGGTGCCTTCGGCCCCCTGGCCGAAGGGTCTAAACTCTCACAGAACGGTTTTCTCAAGCAAACTAAGAAACTGGGAGAAAACGGCGAAAACAGTAGCCCTCGGTACTGTGAGCCCTCGGCACCAAGGTGCCCTCGGTTGGAGGAGCCTTCGGCTACTGCTCTGTAGCCGAAGGCATCTCACTCGACAAGATATCCGCCTCACATGCGTACAGATCACCGTACCCTGCACAGACGTCCCATCCAACAGCCGCATTAAATGCGGCCACATGCGGCTGCCAGCGCCAACCAGTTGAGGTGACCCCTCGGCCAATGAGCGCTTGACACGTGTCCCTGCCCGGCATTTATTGCTACTATAAATAGCACCTCATTTCCCCATTTGTAACCACGCTGAAAACGACATTCATACTGAATACACTCTCTCTCTACTTTTACTTACTTGCTCTGACTTCTCTCTAAGTTATTCCCCGTAATAACCCTTCGGATATATACCCCCGGGTAGACTATCCATCAGGAATTATTTGCCAAACATGAAATTATTTGCCAAACATGACATTATTTACCAAACATATTGAAAAACATGTCATTTTTTAAAATAATTTTCCATCTCAATACATGTAATATTATGATAACAACATTGATTTCAAATGAATTTTCAAAAAATAAACATTAGCTATAGATTTTTTAGATCCAAAATCATTAAACTGAAAATTTCAAAATAAAGAAATTAAAATTAATAAATAAAAATTAGATTCATTGTTTATAAATCACTGGACTTTTTTTTTTATTTTAATAATAAAAAGTTAGATCTCAAATTTTCATATAAATAACTTGTGGAGCCTCAAATTTTCACTTTGAAACCCCTGAACCTATATTTAAAAATTCCATTTGTCATCCAAAAAAAATTCCATTTTGAATCCGAAGATTAAAAAAAATCAGAGATCCAAGTGAAGAAGAAGAAGAAGAAGAAAAGAGGGGATGAAAGATTGAAGAGAAAGAGAAGATGGAAGATATTTACCAGAGAAAGGATTCACACCACGTCGCCGGAGTCGCACCACGTCACCGGAGTGGAACCACGCTGCCGGAGGAGCACAAAGTCGACGGAGTGGAACCACGCCGCCGGAGGAGCACCAAGTCATCGGAGTCACACGTTTCCGGAGTCACACGTTGCCGAGTCGCCCATGTTGTCGAAGTAGAAGATCTAATATTGTTTGTGGGATTGGGGTTGCAGTAGAGAGGAAAGATTGGAGGTGAAGGGGAGAAGGGAAGAAAGAGAGAGAGAAGATAGAGAAGAGAGAGAGAGGTGTTGGGACTTGGGGTGCGTAAAAAGTGAATAAGGAAGGTTGAAAATAAAAGAGGGTAGAGTTGGAACAGTAAATTAATTAGGCCTAGTTAGGGAATAAATTAGGGAGTAGTCCTATTTAGGAACTTTCCTATTATTTTAGTCCTATTTAGGGTAAATACTTTTTTTAAAATATGATTTTTTAAAATTTTTTACTAAGAGAATTATATATACTAATTATGACATGTATTCTTAGTCGTTCAAATTTGTTCTAGTTTATTGTTGGGAGAATTCCCTAAATAGGAGTAAAAAAGTTTTGAAATTCCAAAATAGGAGTATCATGTTTTTTATTCCTTAAATAGGAGTAAATTTATGTCAAGTTTGGCATTACTAGGCTTTAAAAGATGACATTTTTTTCCAAACTTGGCAGATTACTCCTATGAGTTATGCTAGAGGTACAAAAACTTTTACAAAAAGTCTTACAAAAGGGGTATGTGGCATCATCACATTATTTAACACATCACATCATATTTATAACACTTTTACATCAATGGTAATTATAATAGCCACATCACTTATTTGTAAGTTTATTTTGTAAGTGTGTTTGTACTTCTAGCATTTTTCTACTCCTATTCAGGGAATAAAAAACATGATACTCTTATTTTGGAATTTCAAAACGTTTTTACTTTAAATATCCTATTTAGAGTAATTTCTATTTATTGTTGGCAATGAAAATCTTATACTATGCAGTTGTCAATGATTAATTATAACGAACACTCTCACTTTTACTCCCCACGTCTCTAATGTTTTTATAGAACTTAAAAATTCTAGTGCACAAATTTCTCTTTGAAGTTCATACTCCCTCCGTCTCAATATGATTTTCAAAATTTTCTATTTTGGTTGTCCCAAAATGGTTTTACACTTTCTATTTTAGGTATGTAAATAAGAATAAAGTGACAATTTTATCCTTACTTTTACTTTTTCCCCATTAACTTAAGTCATCTACTTTTAGAAAGATAGACAAAAGTGTAAAAAACAAGCATCATTTATTGTCATTCCTTAATCCTTGTGTCGGTCAAAGTTTGTAATTGAATTCGGGACGGAGGGAGTATATTGTTTCAAAATTTATATTATTAAGAATTGAATTGTACCGAGGAATGGTACCAAATTGTGCAGAAAGTTGGTATGAAATGGAGAGTGCGTATACCGTGCAACCGGTATACGGTCAGCACCGTATACCGGGACGGATTTATATATTTTTTTTCCTTTTGCTTTTAAAAAATGGTAATAACTTTTTTATTTTTGATCCGATTTTTATAAAATTTATATCAACATTTTTTATTTTTCATGATCTTTCAAATGAGACCAATATTGCCTATGTAATTTTAACATATTAACATTTGTGTGTGAAATATGTAACTTTAAGTGTTACAATATGTAACTCACGTTCAGTCAAGTCAAATGCAACTCGTGTGTATAAATATGTATCTCTACGTGTAACAATATGTAACTTCACGTAAAAAAATATGTAACTCGCATTCAGACAGGTCACATGCAACTCGTGTGTATAAATATGTAACTCGTGTGTATAAATATGTAACTTTACGTGTAAAAATATGTAACTTTACGTGTAAATATATGTAAGTCGCGTTCAGACATGTCAAATGCAACTCGTGTGTATATATATATGTAACTCGCTTATAAAAAGATGTAACTTGCTTATAAAAAGATGTAAATTGCTTATAAAAAGATGTAACTTGCTTATAAAAAGATGTAACTCACTCATAAAAAGATGTAACTCAATGTATTATCAAATGTAACTGAGGCCACTGATCCACTCCCAAACAAATTCGATCTTCTATTTCACAAACCTATCATCTCCCAAACAGATTCGATTTTTCTTATAATCCAATACTCATTAATATAATAGTTCGATAATTTCTTAAAATTACATACACAATATTGGTCTCATTTGAAAGATCATGAAAAATAAAAAATGTTGATATAAATTTTATAAAAATCAGATCAAAAATAAAAAAGTTATTATCATTTTTAACATCAAAAGCAAAAAAAAAAACACTGCATCGTTTTTGCAACCGGGCGCACCATCCTCATGGTGCGCCTGCACCGTATAATTTGCCAGAAATGGAACATAATAGGTGTTATGTATATTTGGGACAGTGTCGGCATCTTAGTTGGCAAAAGAATAGTAGTTTGGAACAGAACAGGTTTTTAAGAAAACTATCATGTAACGTTACGTGTTCACCCCTAACTACCCATAACAACATGTTGTGCTTAATAACCAACATTAACGGTTACAAACTTTATGAAGTTAACAAATTTATCTTCTCAAAATAATATTAACTTTCTCTTAAGAAAATTGGTATCAAGCATATAACTAAAACCATTTAGAATTTTTTAAATAGTACTTCGTATAAAAGATGGAAGTCATGGACATAGTAACATGCACTTAATGTAGGCAGTCGCTAACGAGCACTTTGTCACGATGCGTCAAAATAATATTCAATACTAACACTTATATGTAGTATAGCGTAATAGAGTTCGTATCAACAGGGAAATGAATACTTTTCTTTTTATGAACTTAGTAAATAAAAGGGGGTTTTGGTGTTGAATGATTTAATTTAATTAAAAACTAAGATGAACAATTTATATGAGATTTAATTCAAAGATAAAAAGGATTTGGCATTGCTACTTTCCACTTGTTGATATATTTTAGTCGATCATTGTTATATCTATAACTTATTCCCTCTTGAATGCTCAATCGAAGAGTATATCCAATTCATCGAGGGTAGTTATTAACAACGACCGTTCATTAATAACCCTTACTATTAGTCGAGTATAGAACATCGTCATATATCGACTTGATAGTAGCATTTAATCTCTTAACTCCTTGATGAAATCAATTGAGATTAATAACCTCAACACAACGGTTTCGATTTAATTAACCAACAAAATTAATCCCTCTTATGTTTATTAACCACAACCGTGCATTAATAAATCGAAGTTACTTACTTGTGAACCATCAACGATTAACCATCAGTTCATCGAGCGTTTCTAGTAATAATTAATATATGAAACAAAACTAGTTGATCCTTTAAGTAATGTTCAAAATATTAATATGAAATATGAATAAGAATTAATTAATATTCAAGGAAGAATATTAAAGATGATAAATCCTACTATAACTAATGTCAAGATGTTAACTAATTGTCATCTTAGCAACGCTCCTCAACATTAATATATAGAGGAAGAAAATAAATACTACTATAACTAATGACGAGATGTTAACTAATTGTCATCTTAGCAACACTCCCCAACATTAATATATAGATAGATTAAGGGACGAATTAATATTCAAGAGAAGAAGTTAAGAAAATAACTCACAACTTTAATAATCAACAAGCTTCAAGAGCAACACCAAGAAATGGAAGTTTAGCTCCTCATTTGGAGACTAAACATAGCTACAAAAATATAAAGAAATGCTATTCTAAACTGAGCTTAAGAGTATGGAAGAAGGGATGATTATTTGTGAAGGAAAAGTATGCTATTTATAGGTGTTTCAACACCTTGGGCCGGGTACCTGAACGGGTCAAGTACCTACCCGACCGGGTCCGGTCAAAATCAGATATCCTCCACGTTCTGGTGATCTTCGGCACGTTAAAATGTCCCGGGTCAAGTCAGACCCGACCGGGTGCATTACCTCACCCGACTGGGTGATTGTAGTTTGTAGCCACCTTCGCTTTTCAATGTCTCACCCGACCGGGTGCAACACCCCACCCGACCGGGTGATTGTCCTGGGCAGCCAATAATCATTTTTTTTCACTTCAAAGTCTTCCTTTCCAACACCATAATTCATAACTCTACTTTACAACTTACAAATGAGAACTAAAATACAATTACAACTAAAATCACACAAATGTTTATAAACTAAATAAAATGGTAAACAATCCACATAAATCAAATACAACAACATACAATTATGCACTACTGGTTAGTGTGCATCAAACACCCCCACACTTAAATCTTTACTCGTCTCGAGTAAACCAAATTATGTCCAAGAAGTCCTTAAAATGACAAGAATATCAACGCACAACATCCAAGAGTGTTTTTACCACAACACAAAGTAATCACAAAACATCCCCAAAAGTGAATAAAGTAAAAAGGGATCTTCATCTTCATCTTTATCTCCACTTGTCTTTTAAGTTTATCACCTTCAGGATCCTGCAAAATAAAAAGAGACATTTCTCTCATTCTCTCCTTTTGCCTAGGTGCCCTTTCAGGTTTTCATCCCAGCTTCCCACATTTTTCTTTTAATTCTCACAACCTCACTCTTATTTTATTGCGTTATTTTTGCTTGAGTTGCCTTTTGTGGGTTTTCAACTCAACAAGCTTTTTTTTTCAATAAAATAAAATGAAAAAGAGTAGGATTGTGAGCATACCAGAACAATCTCTGCACCCCCACACTTAGTATCTGGCACTGTCCCCAGTTCCCGCCCGCATCGCCGCCATCATAGAATCCTCCATAGCCATGATAGCCCCCGTAAGGTGTATCCTCATCCATGTGCTCGCTTCCATCACCGGGACTTGGACCGCCAAAATAACCCCATTCAGTGGGATTATACCAAGAGGGTGCAGGAGGAGGAGTGGTCATAGATGAGAAATCACCCTGATGTGCTATGTAGGAGTAGATAGGGCCATAAGTCCTCCTCATGTCTTCTTGGTCTCTTTGACGGTCCTCCTCATACCGCTGCCAGTCTCTTAGTCTCTGCTCCTCTATCCTATCGAACCTCTGTTGTTGTTCAATTCTATATAGTCCAACATCTTCGTGAAGGTTGGTATAGTTGAGGTTGAGGGCAGCCATGCTATTGAGCAGTTCTTACTCAAATGGTGAAAATTGGTGAGCATTGGGTTGTGGTTGGGGTTGTTCGGGTATGAGGGGCGGAGGTTCAAGTGCGGTTTGATCATGGTGAGGTTTCTGTTGATAATGGGGTGGTATTCTACCGGGGAGACAGTAATGATGCCCATCACCGATTTGGTGATTCAAAAGGTCCAAGGGGAGTTCAAGTGCGGGTAATCGAAAAAAGATGTCTTCGGGTGGGTCGATT